TTAAAAGCAGAAATAATCTCTGACAATGTAAGGTTGCAAGGTTTGTGACAACAAACCTTTAAAAGGTGCACCATTATTTGAAATATTTTTCCAGACTCTTTAGACAACTGCCATAAGACCTTCTGACGTCTAGTCTACACGAGACTACCCTGGTATTACCCTCTTATTATTGGCAACATTTGCTGAAACTTGTTAAGTCATTGTGTAGCCTTCCGTTGTTCCCTTTGCATTATGTTATGGGTTAGGGTTAGGTTTAACATTTACTTTGCACTTCAACTGCTTACACACAAAAACTTGTCACACAGTTTCTGAAACCTGACACTCAAACACCAGAACCACACACCAAATCTGCAAAACCATAGACTAATTCTCGGCCTTTGACTAAGTCAACCTGACTTTTTTGACCAGTGACCAGGGAAACAGGGCGGTTGGAAGCTAAGTATACATATTGGAATGATTCTCGGCTTCCACTCAAGGAGTTGTGTGTGTGCTGGTGGCCATGGCAGTATGTCTGCAGGATGTGTCTAATCTCCTGGATCTTCCTATCCAACAGACTCACTGACACACCCAGGAAGGAGAAGAATACCTTCCATACTTGAGAAATAAATTGAGGACTGACAGTAGTTTAGTACAGTGCTTCAGTGATCTCTAGGGCAATAAGAAGACCCTTAAGTAGCAACAGTCAGGCCTTGGAGAATCCCTCAGTGACAATGATGTGGAGGCAAGGAGGGTTGTGAAGAAGTCCACTCCTAGGTGTTACCAGAGATTATGGGGAACATGCAGCAGAATTAGTTTGCCTGCTAGGAGATGATGAGGAAACATGGAGATAGAGATTCCAAGCAGGCCTTGATGAATTGTTGAGCTTTCTAGGCCATGCTGGGCCACTGGTAGCGATTCTGTAGGAGTGAAAGGGTTTGATGGATGCCAGGATGACCACTGCCCAGGGCAGAGTGCATAGAATTCAGCAGAGTTAGCCAAAGTGAGGTGGGAACATGAGTTGTCCTTCCAGTGCACCCTTGCAAGGCTGGTTCTGTGATAGTGGCTTCAGCAATCTGGTCATCCAGGGTTCATTGCAATAGGGTTGGCAGTCATTTAGAAATAAATGAAGATTTCAGGTTCTTAAGTAGAAAGGGTATCTACCTTGATGTTCTTGGACCCTAGACCAGTGGTTCTCAACTCCAGTCCTTGGGACCCACTGCTCTGCACATTTTGTATATCAAGTCACTTTTATTTATATAGTGCTTTATACAAAACAGATTGTGTCAAAGCAGCTTTACAGTGTCAAACAGGAAAACAGTTTGTCAGTAATGCAAGAGGGCAATAACAATCAGTCAATTTTTCAGTTAAAATCAGTTCATTGATGATGAACTGCCCTTGACCAGTGGTTCCAAATCCAGGTTCTGGAGTTCCTCCAACTCCCCCAACTGCATATTTCATATGTCTCCATAATGAAACACACCTGACTCAACTTATCAGCTCATTAGTAGGGACTTCAAGACCTAAAATAGTACTTTTGGGGGTACTCCAGGATCAGATTGGGGAACCACTGATGTAGATGATAGACAGGTGACTGTCAAGTTGAACTTTGTAAAGAACAAGGCCCATGGGGCCTGGTGAGGGTTCAGCTGTCTATCCTCTTGGAGGTATTGGAGGTTGTTTAACTTACTTTTTTTCCCCAAAAAGCGCTAATGGGAGTGGAAATTTAATACTCTCCTCTTGCGTCTGGAAGGGAAACTCCTACAAATGCATATTCAGTAAGGTCAGGCGCAAAAATAACTGTGTCCACGCCTTTTCAGTGCTAATTCTTCACTGTGCGTCTAGTAAATCCTGACAGTACTATTTTAATGCCAAAAGATGGTTTGCACTGGCACAAGCTGTTAGTAAAACTGGCCCTTGGTTGTCATAATTTTGCTTTACCGAGGTGAGTTTGCATGAGAAGGCAGCAAATGGATGGAGTTTTGCTGGATCTCCCTGTCGTTGAGATAACACAGCTTGTACGTATGTAGAGGAAGCATCTACTTCAACCAAAGGTAAGTCGGGATGAGGATGGATGAGGATGGGGCACTGGTTAAGGCGTTCTTTAAACTTTGGAAGGCATAGGAGGCTTTGGGCTTCCAGGACAGAGACTTGGGCTTAGAACTAAGGAGAGAGTTGAATGAAGCTGTGATCACGGTGTCTTATAGATGAATCTTTGGTAGAAACTGGCAAACCCCAGGAAAATTGTATGTACTATGACAGTGGAAAGAAGTGACCAGGACTGAACTATTTGTACCTGAGTCCATGAGTCCATCTGCACCATGTCTGATGTTGTAGCTCAGGAATTACACAGGAGGTGGGTGGAAAGGACACTTAGAGGAACAGACAAGGTTTTCACTTTTCTAAAGTACCAGGGTCACATGCTGATTGTGTTCTGTCAGGTTGCGGGAGAAAATGAGGATATCAGTATTGCTTAGAACAAAGACAAGTCTCAGAAAACCTTGTTCATTAACCCATGGGATATGGAGGGAGTGTTGACTAGCCCATATGGCATGACCTGATACTCACAGTGGCCTGTAGGTGTTACTAAGGTGGTGTTCAATTCATCTCCCTTCTGCATTCTGACAAGATTATAAGCACTGTGAAGGTTGAGTTTTTCAAACACTATTGTTCCACTCAGCAGTCACTCCTTTGAGTATCTGAATATATAATTCAGTCTAACATTTTGCTGGTTTGTTTAGTGTATGTTGTGTGAAGATGAATGAGATGGATTCATGTTGCTGTGAGACATTGGCAGTGTGAATGGGGCTTGAGAGACCTCGGATGCAGTCCCTCCCACCCAATTATTTACATCACCAGCACTTAAACTGACACTAATTTAAAATAACTAAGCAAATAGCATGTACACATAAATAGTTCTGACCTTGTCTGTAAATTGTGAATCTTAATCTTAAAACATTTCTCATAAACAGCTACATGTCTGCCTCTGTTTATGTTTGTGTAGTGTATAGAATGGGTTGCATTTGTAGGTGTAACTATAGTACAATTCTTGACAATCCAACACAAGCCCTGATGATCAAAGCATGAATGAATGTACAACATTCATATGGTCAGAGTGTTAAAAGCACATATATTTCCCTCAAAACCAAGACTGTAAGATTACAAGAGCAGGAATTTATCTTCGAGACTGTAGATAACGGGGGAAGGGGTGACATGAATCTGTGTGAAATGGATAATAAGCATTGATCTATAGATTAATAAGGTTAAAGCAAGGGATGTACACATGACAAATATAAAGCTTCCTTTCAACAACAGTCATGTTCAGACTTGCCCTATCACCAATAGAGGTCTGTTAATAGATTAATCCCTAGAGAATGTCATTACTCATGTTCCAACACTTTTGTCAACATCTCCAGGGCTCAACACAATATAAATCATTGGTAACTGTAGATATAAGAGTGAGTATGGTGCAAGTAGTAGGTTCTTGCAATGTTACACTGAATGCCATTTTGCACCTATGCATCAAAAAATGAGATCTTCCTTTCTTCAGTATGCAGCTATTTTGTTTAGAGCTTTTGCCTGTGTCCTGTTGCATGAAGCAAGCTGAATAAACTCGGAGTTTCAGGGTAGGTTTAGTGTTGACAAAACCAAACAAATCCAATCCGGTCTATAATGAGATCAGTGGGCTCACATGTTCACAAATTAACTTTAGTAATTGTATGATCTAAAAGTTTATGATTAACTCTGGAACACGTGCAGCAAACAGCCAATTACATGAAACATGGAGAGAGACGGTTTAATTAACTTCTTGTTATAAAAAATATCATAAATTGAATGCATTTACAAGGTGAGAAGAAACATCATTACTGAAGGCACCTATGTATTTTACTATTATATAGTAAACATTTGTTCTTAAACATTTGTGGCAGTAATGGGATTTCTTCTCACTATATGTTATCGATTCTACCAGTACCTGATTTTTAGGCTTTTGTATTTTTAGCCAATTTTGTGTAGTGTATGCAGTCCAATTAAATCATGAGTTTAGGAGAACACTACTGCTGATATGACCTTCTTGTTTGTTCATCACACTGGAAATGCAAAATCAGGTGCATTGCATTGTGGGATACCTTATTCCACAGTGTGCTCTGTTAAATGGTGCACACGGCAAATGTAGTAGATTTGCCGAAACCCATCAAGGTATTCCATGTATACAGTATAAGCACAAACTGCACTGTAAGTATGGGTAGAATGTTATTCTGAACACAGCCGATGTTTAATCATCTGCTAATTTGAAACAGGTGTCAAGAAATCAATTAAAGAGGTATAATGCAGTATCATATGCAAATGTTATCAAATAAATAAACCAGTAATAAAATAAATGGCACATTATATTAATCATGCCATGCAATCATTAAAAAGACCATTGTGTTGACAAGACCTTTCGATCATCAAGTTTATTTTCAAATGAATTACAGTGAAGTTTAGTAGTCCATCCAACAGTGCTGCACTTCCACACTAAACCATTGCTTATTTACACATTTTATATTTCAATTTTAAATCCCCAAACGAACTGTTCATTACACGCTCTCATGGCATGAAAAAAAAAACTGACATGATAAATGAGTTCTGAATATGGGAAATCATACAGCTAAGCACCGCGAGTTTACTCATTTTAAAAAGTGAGTAAAAACAGCATCACAAACAGTTTTGGTTTGTTAACATACATATCCACAATGACATATGTTCAGCACTTTTTTATATATATATAGTCAAAGTATTAAACTTAAATAAATAGATGTGAGATTTCATGTATTTTAATGCTGCATACCTCAGCAACTGAAATAAAATTAATACGTTTGTACATTACACTTTTTTTTTTTCGTACACTGTGCACATGAAGGCATTCTGAGAATTAAGTTACATTCTATTACAAAATACCAAATATGGCTCTCACAATTATTATTTGTGCCTTGAGTGCAGCTTTACCCTCCGTTCTCCATTTCTACATCCATTGTATCAAAACAGATAAAGAAAGAAAAAAAAGAAATTCCATGAGTGTAACCGTAATAAAGAACTGTGGCATGATGCATTAATATGACGTCACAGCACACTGGAAACAAGAAGGGGATCAAGAAGAGGATCCATGTGTTCATCTAATGCTCTGATAATCGACCCCCTTCTGCTTTCAAAACACTAAAATTATCTACAGCTATGAATTAAAGGAGAGTTTTAACAGAAACAATGAGTCATAAGCAGACATTGTGCGGCTCTTCAGTGCATGTAGCTGAATTCAATTAGCACCTGAATTTAGAAAAGCGCTAATTCTCCGATAACCCCTCAGTAAATATACATTCTCACCGACAACACTATAATGAAAGAGCACTACATGAAATCATCATGTGAGTTAATAAGTGCGTACAAATATGATTATTAATGACAGTGCAGAAACGTTCTTGTGCTGTCTGAATGAATTCTGAATGTCATTATATGTGTTTAACCTGCTCATTCGGACATAAACTACATCGTGTTGATCATGTATAATAGTGTGGTGTGTACTGTATGAATCTTCATGACGAGCCCTTTGACTGAAGCAGTTCTGAACTCTCTTGGCTGTCAGTCTGTCTGGTCAGAGTTCGTTGCAGGCAGAGTTCTCTGTTGTTTTAAACATTAGAATAGAGTTATATATCTTTAGAGCCGGCCCTAGTTTAATGCTGAGGATCTTCACCAGGTCCACCTGAGTCAATAAGAGGAAGGCCTCGCCATCAATTTGCTGAAACCAAACAACAATAAATTAGCTGATAAACATACACAGCTGTCAGTGAAGTAGATGCATAGCCCGTGCAATTCTTTAATTCAGTGTAATTTCAAGGTGTTTTGCTCTACAACAAAATGTCCTAAACTAATGTTTGCTGAAATTCATGCAATAGAACAAACATCTCATTTCTGTTCGCAAACAGACATTTGGTATTGTATGAAATTTAGTGATTATACATCACTGTGTAGTTATTTTTACTGGAAATTCAATGGAAATGTTTTGTATTTAAAATAAAATAATGTCGATGTTGATTTGTATAATTCAAGCATACTGCATAAATGAAAGGTGCTTCATCTGATTATTTTGTCTTCATATTTAGGTCTTGACAGACACAATCCAAAAGATCAGATAATTAGGGATGCACCGATATTAAAATTCTGGCTGATAAAACAAGTTGATAATTATTTTATATGTTATGGCTGATAAACAATAATTGGATAATATTAAAATGATCATTTGTGTAAATAAATTAAAATGAAAACATCAAAATGCTACAATTCAGGCACCATATAATCATTTGCAGAATGACAAATTTATAGTTATTTTGAAATTTTAGTCAAGTTTATATTTAAGAACTATTTAAGTTATTAGTGTTTTTTAAAGATGAACTTTAAGTGAAATGGCAGCAAAGGTAATCTAAAATATAATATATATTATTTCACCACAGGTTGCCTCAAGATTTTCCTCTGGGTTTTTATTAAGGGGTTTTTCTAATTTATAAAATAAAATGAGGTGTGTGGTAAACATTTTTGGATGTTTTGATGTCAACGTAAATTACAAAAACTCAACCCCCAAACGTTCGCATGTAGGCCCAGTTACTTATTATAAACATGTTTTTAAAAATAAATATAACTGCTTCAAAATCAAAATGTGTGTTTCAGTATGGGTGTGTATAATTGATGTTGTAGAGTGAAACATCAAAGTATCATTAATTTATATTTACCACAGATACCCATTATAAAAGCCCATTGGAAGATCTGGAGGGAACCCATGGTGAATTAGTCTTCTGGGGTTTGACAGCAGCAGCAGCACTCTATGGCCATGCAGATACATGTACCGCGGTATCAACGGCACGGCAGAATCTCTAGCAGTTCACACATATCTGCCATTGCATGGGATGTACTGAACTGTTAAACTGCCAGCACTATCCTGTGTGAAAGTGAAGTGTGTGAGATGATGTGGAAATGTACTCAAGGTGCCGATGCCGTTGAAACTACGCAAACAGTAGAACTCTTGTTTTAGCCTATAATTAGTAACACATTGCATCTGTTCCTTGCAATGACAAACCACATCCTCCCATTATAATAAGCAGATCTGTTTACTCTGGAAGTGCCTCGTTGCACCATTTTTACACCACTGGATTTCCACAAAAAAATTAACTATGATTTCAGCAAGGGATAATGTACATCCAGCCGGTTGTTTTCGCAGAGTAACCCCCGACAGGGCGATCAGCACTTGTCTCACACTGAAGGGGGTTATTCTGCGATAACAACCGGCTGGATGTACTGTACATTATCCCGCTTATTAAACATCTACTTGCTACATTAATAATTAGACACAAAATTTTAAGTTGAAAATTTGAGTTGAAATATTTGTACGCAAAGCCTCAGTGAAGTTGAAGCAAGTTCAAACTAGACAGACATTTACAATTAAGGTGATAAAAGATATTGATTTAAGACGAAAATGTTTTAAAATCTTACCAGTTTGTTAGTTATCTTATAATCCATTACAGTGTACAAAACAATCATTGCAAAATGGCAGCAGCTGCGTTTGTATGAAACGAGAGAGCGAGTCAGAGACACCAGAATGACAATTGTACACATAATATTGAATGGAGTTTTAATATTTTATTAGCTGACCAAACGCAAAGCTTCCACCAAGAAAAACTGTTCCTATCAAGAGTATAGCGCCGACTTCAGTTACCCGGATGAGCATGTTATCAGCTTTTACCGGTGGTTATCGAGGGATAACAGACCTCGGAATGTCGCGACTGACCAATCAGAATCCAGTATTCCACAGAGCCGTGTAATAAGGCAGGATATTTTCAAGCGTACATATTCTGACATGACGTGCAGCTTTGACACATCCAGTGTAGACAACATCCAGCTGCTGCGTCACGATGTGATGTTGGTCACTTTCAACACAGACACGGTGTTTCAAATGAATCTAATGAGATCACAGCACAATGACTGAATGGAATGGGTGATTGTGTGAGACAAGTGCAATCTCAGTAAATCCAAAGCTGCTGTCATTTTATAAGATCCTTTCAGATAAATGTTCATGGGGTTCAAAAGTCTAAGAGCACAAGTCTAAAGCCTGGAAATAAACAAGATGTTAGAAATTTTACAGTCTGAAATCAAATAATGGTTATGCCATAAAATGAAGAGAAAATTAAAGATTCTGCAAATTTCTATTTCACAAATCAAATGTCCATGTCATTTTGAGTGCTGCTGCCATTGATTAAAAAAGGGCACATAACAATTACTAAGACATTCAGAAATGCATGTGAGATTTTCAATTCAATTTCAAACTCAAACTGTTATGCTAATTATATATGTTTTAAATGGAAAAGGTTGTATGCAATTAAAACATTTTCACAATCAGTTGTGTGTGTGTGTGTGTGCACGTTTTTGTGACAAATGAGGACATAAATTTGTATAATGACAAGGGTATGACATAGGTATTACAAGGAGAAGGTGACTTTTCAGGACATTACCCCATGTCCCCACTTTTCAAAACGCTTATAAATCACACAGAATGGAGTGTACTGAAAATCTGAAATAGCACAAAGTTTCCTGTGAGGGGTAGGTTTAGGGGTAGGGTTGGTGTAGGGCAATAGAATATACGGTCTGTACAGTAGAAAAACCATTACGCCTATGGAGAGTCCCCACTTTTCACAAAAACAAACCTGTGTGTGTGTGTGTGTGTGTGTGTGGAATGGATTGGCTGCAGGTAATTAAACTCATGCAAATATTGTGACAGTGATTTTAACCAACAGTTCAATATCTGCAGGATTTAAAAAATCTAATTTAAGACTTTTTGAGACCTTTTTAAGACCTGCACAAATAAAATTAATAGCATGTAAGTGGGGGTAGGGTAATGTCTAAAAAGCATGATTTACAGTTCTGTTACAGGTTTTCACACAAGCAAAAAGTTTTGTAAAATGATGAACTCCACATTTCAGCCTTTAAACCATTTTTAAGAAAAGGGATGAGTCAAAATGATCAATTATTACATTCATTTAAACAACTATTACCAGTCAATTATTTTATTAATTTAATAACATATATCTTAATGTTTTAATTGTTTAGATTTTTAAAGTGCATTAGCATTAGCTTCTTGTCGATCCACCTGTTCACATTTACAATTCTGAGTGTTTGCTGTGTAAAAATATGGGTCGATTTTCACTTTGTTCGGAACAAAAACAGAAGGGCTGATTGAAAATGCACATTCATTCCCTGCCAGCAGGAGGAGCTTTTGGAGCGGCAGTTTTCCCGGTAACAGTACTGTACACAAAGCAGCACAGCAGCTGACTTTGAAACGTGCAGCGCTCCTGTTTATTTAATGAAATCATTGCCTTTTGAAGTTTAATCTGTCCCCAAATTTAAAACCTCTTGAAATCCTAATTAAGACTTTCTTGTACCATTTAAGACTTTTTATGGCCCCGCGGAAACCCTGACAAACATGAAGTTAATGTTAAGTGACATTTTAAACACAATATTACCAGTTATTTTGCCTAAATTTCATAAGCAAAACTGAGCAGAGATATGTGAAACATCCCAGTGCGGTTTTAATAAATATCGGCATTTTATATTATAAAACAAACTCTTTTAAAAGAACACAAAGTAGATGAATTTTCACAAGTGCTCTGAGACTTTTACACCCCATTGTATGAGAGGACTCATTAATGCAGCTCCCATTTGCACATATAATTAGAAAACACAGGACAAGACACAGAAGTGAACATGAGGGGAGAGAGATGGAAAATAAGAGCAGACAGACAGCAGCTCAGAGAGCAGAATTATTTAAAGCAGCAGCCCTCTGGCTTTTTTAACATTCTTGTTAGCGGTAAACAGGCATGATGCTGTGACGTGGGATGACTTGACATGCCTATAAATGGTTTCAATGAGTTCTCCTCACATATCCCATCATGCCCCATGCTCTCTTCCTTATGCATTATATTCTGTTCCTAAAATACTTCAGTTACTCCGGCTGCCAAACCTCATGATGGAGGACTAGTTAAATATTTCCCAGAGGATTCAGTCGCTCTGATTCCACTCGTGATTTAAAGGAATACTTTACCTCTTCTCTGAAGGTGCACACTTGCTCCTTGCAGCCTGGAAGTCCTTGAATAAACTCAATCACCTACAGAATAACAAAGAGGATTAGAGGAGGGACAGCAGCTGAAGTTAACCGAGTCCAAAACTAATCAACTGATCTAATAAAACCTCGCATTAATTCTGTCTTGAATTTGAATAGCACGTGGGATATGCAGATTCACACGGGAGCTCTGTGTACCTCATTCACGCTCCACGCTGCCACTTTACTGGCTGTGATGCCTGCCACTGTTGGAAGCAGTTTGCTGTGCTGATCCCAGCAGTGAGGCATGCTGGGAGATGGGCTGGAACACGGCATGAATACAGACTGGTGCAAAGCCTGCTGTAGAGTCAGCTCTGAGAGAAACAGAGAGAGGGAGTCAATTCCATAGTAAACTGAGCATCATTACGCCCTACTCAGGGTATCACCCTAGAGATGGACACTGGGTACTGCAGACAATGCTTTGGAATATATAGTGAAATTAAATGATTACATAAAGTAGGGATACGCCGATATTTATGGCTGATACCCATAAGCCAGTCATTATTTTCATGTTATAGCTGATAAATATTAAAAATCATTGTCTAAAAAAAATTAAAACACTAAAACTAAAAACAGCTGTTGTATATGCTGAAAGTACATTTTATAATAAGAAACAGACAATAGGAACAGATAAATGTACAATTTGAAGTAAGACAAAAATATGTCTTTATAAGAAGGAACCTTATAAAGGTTGGTTGGCAAAATATTGTGCACAAAGCACAAGAACTATTTGAGTCTTATGTGACATGTATGTTGCAGACCAACTCTTGACAGCTCTATTGTAAGTCACTTTGAATAAAAGCGTCTGCGTTACTTTATTAATGTAATGTAGAAATGTAAATGTAGGTATACTCCTACACACTCTTTAAGGTTATGCTCGTCAGGACTAATGGATGCAGTGTCCATTAACTCATAAAGAATGTAATTTAAAGTCATTTATGTTTAATGATACTGATTTTCTGACACACAGAATCATGGCTAGTAGTGCTGACACAATACCAATCTCAGTATTCAGAACACCAATACCAATCCACGCTCCACGCTGCCACTTTACTGGCTGTGATGCCTGCCACTGTTGGAAGCAGTTTGCTGTGCTGATCCCAGCAGTGAGGCATGCTGGGAGATGGGCTGGAACACGGCATGAATACAGACTGGTGCAAAGCCTGCTGTAGAGTCAGCTCTGAGAGAAACAGAGAGAGGGAGTCAATTCCATAGTAAACTGAGCATCATTACGCCCTACTCAGGGTATCACCCTAGAGATGGACACTGGGTACTGCAGACAATGCTTTGGAATATATAGTGAAATTAAATGATTACATAAAGTAGGGATACGCCGATATTTATGGCTGATACCCATAAGCCAGTCATTATTTTCATGTTATAGCTGATAAATATTAAAAATCATTGTCTAAAAAAAATTAAAACACTAAAACTAAAAACAGCTGTTGTATATGCTGAAAGTACATTTTATAATAAGAAACAGACAATAGGAACAGATAAATGTACAATTTGAAGTAAGACAAAAATATGTCTTTATAAGAAGGAACCTTATAAAGGTTGGTTGGCAAAATATTGTGCACAAAGCACAAGAACTATTTGAGTCTTATGTGACATGTATGTTGCAGACCAACTCTTGACAGCTCTATTGTAAGTCACTTTGAATAAAAGCGTCTGCGTTACTTTATTAATGTAATGTAGAAATGTAAATGTAGGTATACTCCTACACACTCTTTAAGGTTATGCTCGTCAGGACTAATAGATGCAGTGTCCATTAACTCATAAAGAATGTAATTTAAAGTCATTTATGTTTAATGATACTGATTTTCTGACACACAGAATCATGGCTAGTAGTGCTGACACAATACCAATCTCAGTATTCAGAACACCAATACCAATGAAAATAATGGATATCAAGTTTGATACAAAATGTACAAAAATTGCTTCCAAACACTTATTTTAACTGATTAATTACTTTAAATATTATTATAATTATTGTAATTATAAATGTAATGTTTAAAACCATTAGAAAACCATGTAGCGATGTAGTTTTCAACCAACTATATATATATATAGTTATGATATTCGTTAAACAAATAGTACACAAGAGCAATTTGAGGGTTTTGTAATCCCAAGTAAAAGTGATTTCCTCTTGGAATTCACCACCTTGATCATAAATGACAAAATCACATCTTTTATATACATCACCTTGTTGAAGTTGCTCTTTTCACTTTTGTTCAGAAGGTCCCTATGAATCGAGTGCATTCCAGCAGCGCCCTTCAAGAGTGCAAAAATCCATTTAAATTCACCCAGAGAGCATCATGTTCTCAACAGATATTGGTAAAACTGGTTCACAGTGCACTTAAGAGTGGCATGCACAGCGTTGACGAGCTGTTGTGCTCCGTGCTGGAGGCCAGACGCTGAGATAACACCCTTCCCCACTGTCTGCCTTTCATGGTTAATTCACTCTGACAGAGCCCTTCTTTGAAGTGCGAACAAAAAGAAACAGAACGTTTTAAGAACACGTGTTTATCTCAATATAATGCCAACAAAAGAAAAATAGATCTACAGACAAGGTCAGTCTGCACATATATCAAATAAGAAGTCGATTGTGAGGTTCTACAAATTAGCCAAGGTGTGGTAACGCAGTATTACAGTGAAGTTAACACATGTACGGAGGTTAAGCACAATATGAACCCTCCTAACTACAGTAAAATCCCTCAGTGCCTTGAGTAGCTTACTGGTTTTATAAAATGCCATGACTGGACAAGAGACTCTAAACACATCCCATCCAGATGCTGTGCCCCTAGTCTGTAGGAGCTTTGTATGCTTGTATTTTTGTCTTCTTTGAAGCACACCTGTCTTTATATGACAACTGAGATAGCTCTGAAATTGGTGGGACTTGATAGCTCTTGAAATTGGTGGGCCAATGACATCCTCAAACTCAGAGTGCCAGTAGACACAGTGGCCTGCATCAAATCTGGGGTGGCAGAGCGTGGAGAAATGCAAATGTCCATTGTTGGGTGGGGGTAGTACCCTATGGTAGGGCGGTGCAATTAATCGCATGCGATTGTCATGCGCATCTCGTCAGTAAAGCCGGTTCCGTGATTGGTAGTAAATCTCCATCACCTGCTTTCAGATGGAGCGGCATTTAATAAACAGAGCCGTAGTTCACTGACAAGCTAGGCAATATCGCGTTCATAATCGAATGCGATTCATCTGCGA